CCGATACAGGGGGAAGATTGAGATCGCCCAGGGGCGGTGCTTTGACCATTTTGGGTTGTTTTTCACCGCCATCCTGTGGTGTGGGGTCCTCGTTTTGAAGAGACAGTGCTCCGCGTCTCCTCTCCGCCTCCCTCTCCTCCCTCCTCCCCCGCACCGCACCCATTTCGGCAGACCCCTCACACGTTCCGTGGCCCCATAGGGAGCCCCACCGAAGGCCCCAGTGGGAGAGTTCGCATGGCGGCCTCGGGCCAGTCCGGCGCACCCACACGTTTCGTGGTCCCACAGGGAGCCCCACCGAAGGCCCCAGTGGGAGAGTTCGCATGGCGGCCTCGGGCCAGTTCGGCGCACCCCTCAGGAGGATCGTGGCCCCATAGGGAGCCCCCATCGAACATGATAGGCACGACTGCGGTATACACACAGCTTCATGTGGTTGGGTCCTTCGCCAGGCGAATTTAATATCTTGACCCGCTTTGATTCTTCTTCCGAAATCCGCCTGTGGGAGGACGTGCCCGACCGAAGAGCTGGCCGACATCGAACGGCGTGCGCAATCGGAAAGCCGAGAGCGCTCCAAGAAGGTCGGGAGCGAGGAGGAGGAGGAGGAGAAGGAGGAGGAGGAGGAGGAGGGAAGAGGAGGAGCGAGGAGGAGGGAGGAGGAGAAGGAGGAGGAGGAGGAGGAGGAGGAGGAGGAGGGCCGCGCGGCGGGGCAGGCCGGGCACGGCAGGAGATTCCCGCCGCGGGGGAGCCCCGCCGCGGAGCCCGGCGCCTTCATTCTTAATCGGGCGAACGGGGTCTTTGGGAAGGGGGCCGCGAAACGGTGCGCGCAGTGGTTCACGTAATGAGGGGAACAAGAAGTGCCATAAACATAAAAACTCGGAGGTCCGCGCGGATTTCTCGGATCGGCGCTGGGGCCCCCCGGCGGCGCCTCCGGCGCCGCCCCCAGCGCGCTCCGCGCGCCAGGGAGGGGGGTCCAGCGCCGATCCGAGAAATCCGCGCGGACCTCCGAGTTTTGATGTTTATGACACTTTTGTTCCCCTAACGTGCGCGCAGTAATTCGCGTAATAGTTGGAAACGATCACATATATCGTGCTGTGCCTCGGTCGGGCAGTAGCCGGGGTGCAACAGTTTGCTCGCGCGGGCGCAGCAGGTCTTCTGTGGGATGCAGCAGTGTGTGGTCTCGCCTTGGTTGTGCGAGCAATAGTTTGCGATGGTTGGATTCCCTCGATACAATAGGTGCGTCTGGTCATGTAATCTGACGCAATAGTTGAGCACGCTGGCGCAAAAGTTAGCAATACTTGCGCGCAATAGTTGCGCGCAGTAGTTCCGCGCAGCGAACTATTGCAGCTGCGGTTTGCGGCCCCATTTCCAGATACCCCATTTCCCCGGAACCAACAACTTGTGCGGCTGTGGGCTCTTCTGGCCCGTCGAGGCGGACACCCCTCACGACGACAGCCCGCTCCTGATCTCGGGGGGCAGAGGATAACAGCGTCTAGGCCTCCCCGATGGGGTCCGAGCAGCTGGGGTTGCAGGTTCGCGCCGTATCGCCGCTGCATCGGCGATGCGGCGCGATGCGGAGCCCAGGTTTCTCCGCGCCCATGTCGCCGATGCATCGCCGACGTCGCCAATGCATCGACGGTGCATCGCCGATACATCGGCGATGCGTTGGCGATGCGGCGCGATCCTTCGACCCCATCTACTCGGACCCGATCCAGGAGGCCTTTACCGAAACGTAAGCTGTGGGAGGTCCGTGCGGACGTCTTGGATCGGCGCCAGGCGCCCCTCTGGGGCGCCTCCGGGGCCGCCCCGGCGCTTTGATGTCCGCTCCTGCAGGCCCCGGCACCCGGCTGCTCCAGTCATTTCGGTGCGTGCGCCCAGGAGGTCCGGGCCACTTCTCGGCACGAGCGACATGGATACGGACAGAATGGGTACGATGCCCAACAGCAGTTCCTGTTCATTTTAAACAGGACGCGCTGTCCGCGCCGCCGCGGCCTGTGTCCATTTGAGACAGAAGGCTGCCTGCCCAACAGCGGCCGCTGTTGGTTTGGGACAACACTTGTTGTTGGGCATTGTGCCCATTTTTTCCGTACCAATTTCGGGCGTCCAAAACTTGCCTACAGTCGGGGCCCATGGCAAGAGACACCCTGCGTGCCTCCAGGGTGCCCTGGGTGTCTTGGACCTCGGGGTTCTGGCGATGGAGCGCGTGACGCTCCCGCGTCAAAGATCCATGGGCGCCCTGGGAGTTCAGGGCCGGGTCTCTTGTGGGAGGCTTCTTGTGGGCTGGCCGCCGCCGTGGGGCCGGTTCCTCGCCCCGAGTCGTTTCCTTGACGCTCCCGAGGCCCTGGCGAGGGCCCCTGGAGGCCGAGCACGGCCCACGGCCGCCCGCTCCCGTGTCTGCTGGGGCGTCGGACCTCTGGGCCAGCGCCGATCCAACAGCTCCGCGCGGAGCTCCGACGGTCCACTCTCTAGTCGGGCATGTCCCTCTACAGGGGGAGTGCTCAAAGATGGTAGCAACAGTAGTCTGGGGACGCTTATGCTTGACGACTTGTTTGACGACTTGGGGGTCTGTTTCTGGTATTTTTCACTTTTCGCCCAGAGTCCGCCTGTAGGGGGACATGCCCGACCACGTCTACTCGGGGAGTGCTTAAAAGGTGCCCCCCCGACCCGAGGTGCCCCCAGCTTTCCTCTCTCCACTCTGGAGCCCCTGCAGGGCCCTCTGGGCCTCGTGGCGGGTGCTCTGGAGGCCGCGGGGGAGGAGGAGAAGGAGGAGGAGGAGGATGTGGAAGAGGAGAAGGAGGAGGAGGAGGAGGAGGAGGAGGAGGAGGAGGAGGACGAGGAGGATGAGGATAAGGATGAGGATGAGGATGAGGAGGAGGAGGAGGCGGAGGAGGAGGAGGAGGGGCCTCCTTGGACAACCCGTGGGGCACCTTGGGCCAGGGGCACCTCTGGCATCACCCGGCCTACCCAGAGATCCGATGGCGTGATTTTGGCAAGGCGCGGCCCCCAGAAGTCTCGACCCACTCCCCAGGGCGGGCTCCTCGCCCCGAGCCCTCTCCCTGACGGCCCCGGGGCCCTGCGAGGGCCCCTCTCTCTGGAGGCCGAGAGCTGCGAAAAAACACCTGCGCCTTGAGCTTCTCTGCAATTACGCTGGATCTCTGGGTATAGGAATAGGAGGAGGACGAGGAGGAGGAGGACGAGGAGGGGAGGAGGAGGACGAGGAGGAGGAGGAGGAGGAGGAGGGAGGAGGAGGAGGAGAGGAGGAGGAGGAGGAGGAGGAGGAGGAGGAGGAGGAGGAGGAGGAGGAGGAGGAGGAGGAGGAGGAGAGGAGGAGGAGGATGAGGAGGAGGAGGAGGAGGAGGAGGAGGAGAGAGGAGGAGGAGGAGGAGGAGGAGGAGGAGGAGGAGGAGGAGGAGGAGGAGGAGGAGGAGGAGGAGGGGAGGAGGAGGAGGAGGAGGAGGAGGAGGAGGAGGAGGAGAGGAGGAGGAGGAGGAGGAGGAGGAGGAGGAGGAGGAGGAGGAGAGGAGGAGGAGGAGGAGGAGGAGGAGGAGGAGGAGGAGGAGGAGGAGGAGGAGGAGGAGGAGGAGAGGAGGAGGAGGAGGGAGGAGGAGGAGGAGGAGGAGGAGGAGGAGGAGGAGGAGGAGGAGGAGGAGGAGGAGGAGGAGGAGGAGGAGGAGGAGGAGGAGGAGGAGGAGGAGAGGAGGGAGGAGGAGGAGGAGGAGGAGGAGGAGGAGGAGGAGAGAGGAGGAGGAGGAGGAGAGGAGGAGGAGGAGGAGGAGGAGGAGGAGGAGGAGAGGAGGAGGAGGAGGAGGAGGAGGAGGAGGAGGAGGAGGAGGAGGAGGAGGAGGAGGAGGAGGAGGAGGAGGAGGAGGGAGGAGGAGGAGGAGAGGAGGAGGAGGAGAGGAGGAGGAAGGAGGAGGAGGAGGAGGAGGAGGAGGAGGAGGAGGAGGAGGAGAGGAGGAGGAGGAGGAGGAGGGAGGAGGAGGGAGGAGGAGGAGGAGGAGCGAGGAGGAGGAGGAGGATAGGAGGAGGAGGAGGAGGAGGAGGAGGAGGAGGAGGATAGTACGCTTGAGCTTCTCTATAATTACGCTGGGGGCCGTGATTCCTCTGCGCCCCGGCGCTCGGGCCCTCGCCGTTCCTGGCAGGCGCCGTCTCCGCGGCCTTCGCGCGGCCCGGGCCGCGGGCCGCGCCCGCGGCGCTGGGGAGGGGCGCGCGGGAGGGGCGGAGCCTCGAGGGGCAGGCGGCGGCGGGAGGTCAAAGAAGAGCTTTATACAACAAATAATGAACCTAATAGCATGTGAACTTAATATTATATGCACTTGAATGAAAATTGGGCATGTACTAATTATACGAGCATAATGTTATTTTAGCAAAATATCAGATGCATGTGTATGAGCATTGTATTATTTGAACATAAACAATTATGTTTGTATGTATATATGCATGTAGATATAATTGGGCAGGTTTGCTTGGCTTGCAGGACGTTCGCCTCCCCCCCCCTCCCCTTTGCAACGAGCGCCGGGATGTTCCGACCTGCCTGGGCCCAGACCGCCAGAAAGAGAGCGTCGATCACCAGGAAGGTGTCGAGGCTTGAGGGCTTTCACGTGTGGGGCCCTGGAGGGCGATACTCGTTCGACACGGTTTCGATACATGGCTGGGTGCTTGAAATTATTTCGGGGATGTGGGTCTTCAGTACGATGGGACAAACACATACATCTAGCGTGCAAGTGCCTTTTCTACTTGTGTGATTTCCACACGTCAAGACGTTTGCCGCTTGCTTTAGGTTCAGCCCCCCCCCCCGTCCATGCGAGTAAACTCGCCGGAGTCTAAACAAAAACAGGCTCGAAGAAAAAACGGCATATGCATAAACTTTCGGAGCTCCGCACAGATTTCTTGGGTCGGCGCTGGCCCCCCCCAGCGGCGCCTCCTGCGCCTCGCCTGGCGCGCTCCGCTCGCCAGGGAGGGGGGCCCAGGGCGGATCCGAGGAATCCGCGCGGACCTCCAAGAGTTTATGCTTGTGCAGTTGTCTGATCTTCCAGGGAGGAGCGCCTATCTCCGAGCGCGTTCCACCACTCGCCGGATTCCTGCTCGCAAGCGTCCGAGAAGACATACGTGGTGGCTTCGATGTCGTGGGTCGTGGGCACGGCGGAGCCCGGCCATGTGCGAGCCAGCTGCCCTGCAAGCAGTGGAGCGCGCCGGTCGAGCCGAGGCGGCGGCGGTCCGTGGCCTGCTGCGGGGGGGTCGGCCTTTTTTTGGGAGAGAGACGCGCAAGACTCGTCGACGTCGTGGTCCACCACCTGCGCCCGCTCGCTCGGTGGGACGCCTCTCGGCTTCAGGAGCGCTCGTGCTTCTGCCGCGCCAGCGTCTCTCTTTTGTCTTCTTGGCGACGTCGTCGCTGTCGCCGTACCCGATCTCGTCGTTTGCTGGGCGTCTGCAGTAGCGGTGCCCTCCTGCGTCTGGCACCTGGCACCTTCCCGTACTCGGCGCATGTTTCTTCTCTCCTTCGGGGGATCGTGAGACTCGAGTTCGCCGGAACGCGGGTTTGCCGACGCTTTTTGACGAGCGCGCCCTGGATTTTGACGGTCCAGGTCTAGTGGGATGTCTGCAGCGGGAGATCGCGTCAAATTCCAGGCTGGGTCTCGTCATTCTCATGATAGCCCCGTCAGGCCGACCCGAGTCCCCCGAACCCGAGTCTTACGTACCCCTAAGTTTGGGGGGTTCAGGACAAGGGAAGCGCAGTTCCTTGGATTGTCCCTGTTCGGGGCCGTACATGTCTCAGCAGATCTATGTGTGTTCTCTGCTGTGCTGTTTTTCCTGGGTAGTTCCTTGGTCTTTTGTCGCTTGGGCCCGCATTTTTCTCGAACCAGATGTATTCCTTAGTTTGCTCTTCGCTGGCTCTGACCCCCAGAAGTCTGACCCCCCCTTGGCAGGCCGGGGCCGTACTTGTCTCGGCAGACATGTGTGCTCTCTGCTGCTTTTCCTGGGTAGCTCCTTCGGGTGCTTCGCCCGGGCCATGCATTTTTCCAGCAACATATATTCCTAAGTTTGCTCTTCGCCGGCTCTGACCCCCAGAAGTCTGACCCCCCCACTGGCAGGCGAAGGAGGCGGAGGGTGGGAGGTCGCAGCACGAGCACGCCCTCGACAGAGCCGCCATCGCTGGTCCGGACGCCCCAGGCGTGTCGAGGGCCTCCAGGTTTGTCTTCCCGGCGCCCTGTGCCGCGGACGGCGTCAAGAGCCGGAAGAGGGTCATCTTCAAGGTGTCGAACGTCGGCTTCGCCTACCCTGCGAGCAGCAGTTTTTCCGTTATGGGGTCGAGCTTCGAGATGTCTCAGGCCAGTCGCATTTTGGTCGTGGGCGCGGGTGGGTCGGGCAAGTCGACCTTGGTCAAAGTCCTGATCGGGAAGCTCAAGCTGACCGAGGGCGCAATCCAGCGGGCTGTCGGAATCAGAGTGGCCTACGTCTGCCAGCACGTGTTTCGCCAGCTCGAGGATCGCATGCACATGACCCCGCTTCAGTACATGATGTGGCGCTTCGCTGGTGGTAACGACAGGGAGAGTGCAGAGCTCCAGAGAAGTCAAAAGCCCAGGTTGCCTACGCGGGAGGGCATTGAGCAGCATTGTAGTGATTTCGGCGTCGACCAGGAGTCCGTAAACCGCCTGCACATCAAGCAGCTCAACAAGAGCATGAGGTTCAGGCTCGTGCTGTCGGCCGCGATGTGGCCGAACCCTAACCTGCTCGTCCTGGACGAGCCCGCCAGCTGCCTGGACCACTGCAGCCTCGAGGCCCTCGCGGCCGCGATCGAGGCCTACAAGGGCGGCGTGCTGATCACCGCCCACAGCCCGGGGGCTGCTAGATGTGCCCCTGGCCCAAGGTGCCCCTCAGGATTTCCAAGGAGGCCCCCACGGCCTCCAGGGCACCCCTCGCGAGGCCCAGAGGGCCCCAGGGGCTCCAGCATTGCGCGAGAAGCTGGGGGCACCTGGGGCTGCTGGGCGCACCTTCAGCAGCCCCCGCGCAGCCGGGACGCGCACTACTTCGAGGCAGCTGCCACGGAACGGTACGTTCTGCAGGGCGGCCGCCTGCATGCCGCCGCGCGGGGGGGCGTGGACGGCACTACCGGTGCGAGCGCAGCGGATGTCGGCGGGCCCACGGCTGAACCAGAATTCACTGCTTGACGCGTGTTCGAGATCCGTGCCTTCCCCGCGTCCTGGGAGCACTGGGCAGTGACCCTCTCCGCTCACGCGTAGTCACGGCAACCCCGCGGATAGACCCCCACGCGTGCGACCAGGGGGGCGGGGGGGGGCCCTCCAGGCCGCCGGCGCCGGACTCTTGTTATCCACGACGCCGGCCCCGGGAGAGCTCGGCCCCGTCGCCGTGGCCGTGTGTTCTCCGTCGCGGGCCGTGCTCGGTTTGCGGCCCCAGGGCCGAGGCGGGGATTGATGCCCACCACCGCCCTCGGGGGCCTCGGCAGGCGGTGGCTGCGGATTGCTTCTGGCCCTCTGGGGCCACAGCATGGGAGGGGTTCCAAAAAAGGGCCTTGCCTTCGAGGATCGGAGGAGTTGTCATCTCTTCCTCGGCGGAAGGCGGCGGAAGGGCGGCGGAAGGTCGGCGGAAGTAGGAGGAGGCCGCCTCCGCCGGCGGAAGCCGGCGGAGCCAGCTCGGTGGAAGGCGGCGGAAGTAAAAGATGCGCCCTAAGAAATGTAAAGGTTTTTGGTTTCGGGTTTCCCACATCGCCCATTCATAATGTGTATATAAGAATGTTAGTAAAAGCTACAATTCTTTATTCATAATAATACGTAAATAAATAACAACATAAATACATAATAGTAATAACAATAGTATTCATAATGCTATTACTATCATACATATATACATACATACATACATATATACATACATACACACATACATACACACATACATACATACATACATACATACATACATGCATGCATGCATGCATGCATGCATGCATGCATACATACATACATACATACATACATACATACATACATATATTTACCCATGTCCATATCCACCGCCCGCTGAGGTCCCAGGACGTCGTTTTCCCAGGCGGTGGATCTGCATACAGTCAACCCGCACAGCAAGGATGAACGACTCTCCAAGGCTACCCTTGCACCCTCCCCTCTCGGTCCATCCTTGGCCGCTTGCGCTGGCCAGCGCCCCGCTCGCTCAGTGTCGGCATGGCCTTCCAAGGCCTTCGCATCCCCCTCTTGCGTCCTTGTTATACTCACCACCTACCAAACCACCCCAACCCAACCCGAAGGCCTCAATTTGCCTTCCATCTCCAGTGGGGCGGGGGTCGGAGAACATTGAAAGCACACATGCGGAACCCGTACCCCCCCCCCCCCAACCTGAAATTCGGGTCTTCGGGCTGGCTTGGGGTGGTCCGGTGGGTAATCCTATACGGGTTGGCTGCACATCCCCGCCTCGCACCATGGGCCTCGAGATCGGTCCCCGCGGCGCCGAGCCCGCGAAGCGGCGCGCGTGCGCGCACCGGGATGCCAGCGGGCGCGCCCTTGGGCGGGCGCGCCGCGCGGACCGCCCCGGCCCGGAGGGGGATCCCCCCTCGGAAGCGCCTCGACCGTGCGCGCCGAGGCCGTGCTTCCACGCTGCGCCTCGGTGCGCGGGCGTGTTTTTTTTTTTTTTGTTGGTTCCTGCCAGCCTCGGGGCGCAAAAGGCCCAGAGATCCGCCGCTCCGAGACCGTGGGGCCGGGCGCAGTTTGGCCGTTCTCTAGGCCTCTGGGAGCTCCCGCCGGGCCTCGGCCTCGGGAGCGTCAACACTGATCCAGGACGAAAGTCGACCAGACGCAAGAGTGACCTTTCGCCGGAGTGACCTTGGGTGCGGGCCGAATGGGGTCCCCCCGATCGCAGAACGCGATGCGATGGTACCGGCTTCCGCGCTTGTGTTTGGTCTCCCCGCGGCGCCCCCAAAGCCGCGCACCAAGGGTCACGCTTCCCCAGGATCACTCTTGCGTGTCGTCGAGAAAGACCAGCCCGGGGGAAGCGGTCCGGGCCTCCAGGTCCCACGCATCGAACACACTGGAGCAGTCGGATGTCTGGGGGCTGCATGAGCCTGCGTTTGCGGAGCTCCGCGCGGAGGTCTCGTCTCGGCGCTGGGGCCCTGCAGGCGGCGCCTCTGGCGCCGCCCAGGGGCCGGGTGGGCCCGGCGCCGATCCAAGAAGTCCGCACGGGCCCCCGAAAGATTATGCTGCGGCATCGCTCGGGCGTGTGCATTTGTTCCACGGCGAGGGCCATCGAGGCGCATCTTGGATCCTCTTGCGAAGGAGGAGCGCACGATACGGACGGCTGCACAGGGGATGGACGTCCGAGCGATGGCGAGTGTGCGAATGCCGCTGCTTCTCTTTTTTCAGCCAGCTGGTTCACTTTGTCCGGGTTCGCCTGGAGTGCTCCAGCACGGAGGTCCTTCGACGTTGCGTGTCGCAGAAGGAAGAGAACGAAAAACGCAGAAGGTTCCGCGTCCGCCAGTTTTCCTCCTCAGCCTCGACGTCCTCGTCAACTTTAGAGCTTACACATTGTTCATGTCTAAGTGTTCGAAAGTTCTTTGATTCTATAATATTCATTCCTATTTGTTCTATCCTAGGCCTCTCCCTGGCCACTAGGGGGCCAGGAGCAATTTGAAACGAGCACAATTAGAAATGAGCACGATTAGACATTAACGACGTGTACACCTTTTTAGCAGACAACCCTGGAAAGGAGAGGAGCCAATCTGCATCGCAGGGTCGAGGCGGCAAGTGATTTCGTGGTCCTTGCTCGACATGTGTGGCGCGCTCTGATCCGTGGTGATGCCATTTTACGGCTGCCACTGTGCCGTTGTAATTTTTACTTGGGGTGGTCGTCATCAAACAAGCGAGGGGGCGAGGAGGGCGTCGAGGAGGGCGACGAGGACGGCGGCGAGGGGGGCGGCGAGGAGGGCTGCGAGGAGGGGCGGCGAGGAGGGCGGCGAGGAGGGCGACGAGGTGTCATTCTGGAGGCCATCGATCACACAAGTGGGGGGGGAGCACTTGCGCCGCTCCTCTGGGTGCTGGAAAGTGCCGCCGGAAAGGGACCCCGGGCCTTCCCCTGGCGTGCTATCAGGGGGGGGGGGGCCCTGATCCGCGCCGCCCCCTGGGCGCCGCGAGCGGCGGACCATTCGCGCCCTCGCGGTCTGGAGTCCTGGCCGCGATCCCAGTCGCAGTGATGCGCCTTGCGCCGGGCCTCCGCGGGGAGACGTCTCGTTTTCTCACTGGGCCGCGGCCCAGGGGCCCGGTCCGCGAGGGCGTGGACCTACGGGAAGGAAGCCCGACAAACCGCCTCGGGACCCCTTGGGACGTTTTCAGGTCTTGTTGGAGGCGGCAAAGGGGTGGGTGATGACTGGGGGGGGTATCATGGCGGGGGCCATGATATCTCCCAAGATTTCATGGCGCCTCTTCTTATTTCAATGCGTCCCTGCTCCCCCCTGGGCCGCGCACATGCCGCCAGCCATGATTTGCGCACCCCCCCCTCTTGGACGCCCCCTCTTGGCCGCCCCCGATCTGGGGGGGGCGCCGTCTTGGGTATTTCAGGGCCCCTCTAGGGGCTCCCTCGCGCGATGTTGGATCTGCCTGGGGGCCTCAGATGCGCATCAGAAGCGAAAAAGGCGAGACGGCCAGAATCACTGGGAAACCTGGCTTCTCGAGGGTATTCTTGGGAAGCTCCGAGACCATCTTGAGCCAAATTGGGCCTAGCTTCATCGTGGAGGCCATCCCATGGTATCTCGAGCCCTTTGGGGTCGTCTTGGAACCATGATGAGCACAGACCTCCCCCCACATCACCTTCCCCATCTGGATGTCGGGCTCCTTGGGTGGAGGACAGTGGGGAAAGGTAAGTGAGCCTTCGCTGTCCTCCTTCTCTACTCCTCTCCTCCTCCTCTTCCTCCTCCTCCTTTCCCTCCTCCTTTCCTCCTCCTTCTCCTCCTCATCCCTCCTCCTCCTCCCCCTCCTCCTTTTCCTCCCCCTTCTCCCTGCTCCTCCTCCTTCTCCTCCTCCTGCTCCTCCGCCTCCTCCTCCTCCTCCTCCTCCTCCTCCTTCTCATTCTCCTTCTCCTCCTCCTGATCTTCCTCCTCCTCCCTCCTCCTCCTCCTCTTCCTCCTCCTCCTCCTCCTCCTCCTCCTCTCCTCTCCTCCTCCCCCTCCTCCTCCTCCTCCCCCTCCTCCTTCTCCTCCTCCTCCTCCTCCTTTTCCTCCTCCTGCGCACAACCTGAGGCGCCACAGAGTCTATGACACCACAGCCGTCGGTCGGCGTGGCTGAGGGCGCACCTTGCAACCGCCATCAGCCACGCACATCGGACAAGGGCCGCAAGTGGGCCCCGAACAAGCCCAGACAGGCATCCGTCGCGACCCTGGCCTACCGCAAGGGCAGGCCAGGGGAACGGAAACCACCCCCGCGGGGACGAACGGGCAGCCAGATGGCCCCCAAAGGCCCCCAGGGAGGGGACTCGGGTTCGCGCACCAGCGCGAGCCCCAGTCCGAGGCGCCACCCCGCAAAACACGCCGCGGGGGCCGCCGACCAAAAACACGAGGCGGATCCAGCCAGAGCCACTAGAGCGCCGACGGCCCGCCCCGAGCCTCAGCAGTCTCCGACAGCCCTGTCCTCCCGCCGAAGACGCGGAACAGGCTCACTCCCTGGACGCGGAAGCACTGTCGGAAGCGATGGGATAGCATGAAGGTGTGCATCAGGTCGGGGTCCACGTCCTCGTATTCGAGCTGGCGCACCACGTCCTCCATGCTCACGCCGACGTCGGCGAGCCCAACCTCCAGCTCGCCCTCCGCATGATTGGAATTGACCGCCGCGTGGCGATGCGAGAACAGCTTGACGAGGAACTGCTCGGCGTCGAAGCGCGGGCAGGCAACGTCCTCACACACGCGGTCCGCGGGCACGGCCCCTGGGAAACCGCCGTCGTCGCTCATCACGTGGCACCCCTCGTCGCCGAACATCTGCTCCGAGCCAACCTCGACGACCTCGTCGAACACCGGCTCCGAGCCAGCAACGTTAACCGTCGGCGCCCCGCACACAGAGGACACCACGACGGCCTCCAAGGAGGCGCGCCCTCCCACTCGATCATCTCCAGCACCACCACCAACAGGAACGGCTTCAGAGTGAGCGGCACCATGACGGCGACTCCTTCCTGCTCCTGCTGGTGACTCTCCACGGTCATGTGCACCGCGATGCCCGCCAACTCCCCTGACAACCCGTCGAAAGACACACGCTCCGAGCCCACCTCGACACCGACCGCGTCGAACTCCAGCTCCGAGCCCATCTCGACGAAAACCCCACGATCCGCGCAAGCATTGCCCACGACAGATGCGCCCGAATCGTGGACATCGACCTCCTTACCGCCGAACGCCAGCAACGGGCCGACCTCCACGGAGCCATCGAACTCCAGCACCGCGCCAACCTCGGCGAGATCCGCCACCTCGCCTTTCGCGACGTCGCAGTGGGGCAGGAAGACGGTGGCCTTCGCCCGCAGCGGCGTGCTCCTGCCGTCCAGCAGGCCTTCCAGCGCGGCGGCCAGCGGGGCGTCGGGCGGGCGCGGCGGGCCAGCAACTGAGGGCGGCGGCGCGTGCCGCGACCAGTTGCCAGCCTCCAGGACCTCCACGTAGTACTTCACCTCCTCAGGTGGCCAGCCCAATAGACGGGCAGCCACGACTGTCTCCCCCATGGAGGGGAAGTGGCAGCCCATGCGGTCGTCAATGGCCCAGTGCTCAACAAGCGCTACGCGCAAAAACTTGAGCCTGTGAGCCAGCGCCCCCGCGCGAGTGTCGCCCAGCGCCGAACGCCTCTCCCGGCGGAGCCTCCGGGCCAGCGTCCTCGCACTGGCAGCAGCCCACACCCGGGCCTCCAACGCTCGCGGCCGCTTGCGCGCCGCGACGCGGGCGTCCGCGGCGCGCACGAGGGCCTCCCGAAGCGCGGCTCGCTTGAGCCAAAATGGCTACGGAGTCCCTTTTTTTTCCTCCTCCTCCTCCTCCTCCTCCTCCCCCTCCTCCTCCCCCCCCCTCCTCCCCTCCTCCCCTTCCCCCACCTCCTCCTCCTCCTTCTCCTCCTCCCTCCTCCTCCTCCTCCTCCTCCTCCTCCTGCTCCTCCTCCTCCTCCTCCTCCTCCTCCTCCTCCCTCCTCCCTCTCCTCTTCCTCGTCGTCCTCCTCCTCCTCCTCCCCTCCTCCTCCTCCTCCTCCTCCTCCTCCTCCTCCTCCTCCTCGTTCTTCTCATCCTTCTCCCCCTCCTCCTCCTCCGAGTGACCTTTGGTGCGGGCCCACTGGGGTCCCTCAATCGCGCCGAACGCGAGGTGGCAGTGGAGTCTTGCGCTCCTGTGCGTGCCCCCCCCTCCCCGCGGCCCCCAGCAGCCGCGCACCAAAGGTCACTCTTGCCCGGGGGTCGCTCTTGCGCGCAGCCGAGAGGATGAAGTCGTCTGTGGTCTTCGAAGCAACGGCCAAGCGTCCTGGCTTGTCTGTACGTAGGCCAACCAAGGAATGGTACGAGAACCTCTTGTGGTGCACGAAGTTTTCTTAGAGCATTTCTGGCTGGGACCGTCTTGCAATGGTACATCGGATTCATGTTCTAAGAGCATTGCTTTTTCCATCAGAGCTTTTGTTCTAAGAACATGTTGTGGTAGGCCTCTAGGAATGCTGGGCTGGGGCGGTCGGTCCCTGCTCACGTCTTGGGAGGCGAGGCTTTGATATGAGAGCTCTGCACAACATATGCCAGCCCCTACGCTTTCGTCCGCACGCCGCTTCTGCACGGGCGCTGGCGCACTATTCGTTTGCAGCTTAGAGTGGCGGTGAAGAGGCCCGCTGCTCCGCCAGACAGCATCCTGCCTGCTCCCCCTTCTTTTGCCCCTCCCGCGCGCGCTCCCTTGCAATCCCTGCGTGCTCCAAGTCTCCCGTGTCTCCCATGAGGTTGCTGCTGCCCGCGGGGCTGCGGCGTGGCCTCGCACGAGAGGTGCGCGTACCAATCTTACACATCGTCACGAGGAGGCTATCCATACGCACAAGGAGCTACTTGCAGGCCTCCAGAGATCCCAGGCGACCTCCGAAGGCTCACGCAGGCAAAAAACATAACGGACAAACTTCAAATATCATCGGGCCTTTTCCCCCATTCCTCCTCCTCCTCCTCCTCCTCCTCCTCCTCCTCCTCCTCCTCCCACCGCAGGAGGCCATCTTCGGCAACGTCCCTCTCATCCTCAACCTGGAGGAGCCCGGGTGCCCGGAGTCCACCGGAGCTGGCAGCCCCATCCTGCCGGAGGAACAGGCGGAAAGGCAGGAGGGCGGAGCGGCAGAGAGGGGAGGGCAGCGCAGAGGGGGAAGGGGCCGGGAAGGGGTAGAGCGCACAGACCAGACGACCTGGACGACGCCGTCCCTGAAGCCGGCGGCCGCCGCGGGCCCCACAGACGCGGAGGCCGCACGCGCCGGCGCCGCCGCTCGGCTGCCCCGCGGGCGCAGGCTCGGCGCCGCGGCGCGGCGCGCCGCGCCGCTCGCCTCGGCGGGGCCCCGGCCGGGCGAGGCAGCGGGCGTCCGCCTGCGCGGCCGCCGCCGCCGCAACCCGCGCGCGCGGCCACCGCCCCGCGGCGGCCCGCGCCGCGCGCGCCACTCGCGCGCCACACGGCGCCACGCGGCGGTGGCTGGGCCACCGCCGGGTGCTCGCCGCCGCCCCGCGCGGGGCGGCCGCGCGCGGCTTCCCGGGGAGTTCCCGTCGGCACCGGCCCCGCCGGCGCTCGCAGGCGAGAGACACCTCCGTATACTTAGCCGCGGCCTCGCGGGCCGCGGCCCCCGCGGATACGGGGCGCCTGTCTCGCGGAGGCCCCCGCGCGGGGCGCAGTCGTGCGACCGCGTAGCCGCGGGGTCGCGCCGCCGAGTCCAGAGCGCGCGGGTGCGGGTACGCACTCGTTCGCCGCTCCTTATAGGCGTGCTGACGACGTTGGGCCGCTTGGGATCTCGTCGCGGCCCCGCCGAGGCGTGCTCTCGGCGTTCCCCGGCAGCTGCGTGGCGCGCGGCCCGCGCCTCCAGCTGCTCCGCACGTCCCTGATGCGCCTCAGCCGCCTCGAGCGCCGCGCGCGCGGTGATGAGTAGCAGGGCTGTCACGTCAGACGACACGACACGACACGACACGACACGACACGACACGACACGACACGACACGACACGACACGACACGACAGCACGCACGCACACGCACACGCACACGCACACACACACACACATACACACACACACACACACACGCGTGCGCGTGTGCGGGTGCGGGTGCGGGTGCGCGCGCACGAACACGCACACAGACACAAACACAAACACAAACACAAACACAAACACAAACACAAACACAAACACAAACACACATTCACTCAAAAACACAAAAGCACGAAAGCACAAACACAAAAACACACACACACACACACGCCAGGGCAAGGGCGGGTAGCGCAGAGGACCACTTTGGGCGACGTGGCCCTCGCATTAGTCCTCTGACTCTGTATTTTTGGGACCGACGTCGACTGTAACACATTCGAGCTTTGGGTGACGTCCAGAGGCCCGTCGATAAAGGGGCAAGAGGGGCAGGAGGAGGAGGAGGCGAAGGAGGAGGAGGAGGCGGAGGAGGCGGAGGAGGAGGAGGGAGAGGAGGAGGAGGAGGAGGAGGAGGAGGAGGAGGAGGAGGAGGAGGAGGAGGAGGAAGAGGCGGAGGCGGAGGAGGAGGCGGAGGCGAAGGAGGCGGAGGCGGAGGCGGAGGGGGAGGAGGAGGAGGGGAAGGGCTGGACGGAACAATGGCAGGAGAGGGAGGGGGGGGGGAGGGAGAGGCGGAGGAGGGGAAGGAGAGGGGCGGGCCGCGGGGCCCCATCCAACCGGGCCACTGGCAGCAGCAGGATCCGATGATCCGAGGTTGTGGTACTGAGTCGGGCCTGCTGCCCCCCTACAGGAGGAATTTCCCAAACTAGTACAAAATAATAGTCTGGCGACGTTTTCTGGTATTTTTGAATATTTTTGGTATTCGTTTCGTAGTTTTCGTTCTTCGTCCAAGATCCGCCTGTACGGGGACAGGCCCGACTCACATGTAGAACTGTGGTTGGCTCCTGCCTGTGTCCTGACTGTCGCGCTCCTTGCTTCTTCCTGCCTGGAGGACAGGCTTTCGTCGGGAGCGTTTTGTGTCCTCTCGGGTGACCTCTACACTCGGCTCCAGCCGTAGATTTTGCGTGTGCTGCCAGGCGCACAGCCGTCGCCACATTCCTGCGCCACACGGAGGCCCAGCGGGGTGCCACCCCACGCAGACAGACCTGATTTGACTTTTTCCTGCGCCCCAGGAAGGCCCAGCGGAGCACCACCCCTCGCAAACCCCTTTCGATTTCACTCTCACTCCCTGAGTGGTATCGGTCGCACAACCGCCGCCACGTTCCAGCGCCCCCTGAAGATCCAGCGGCGTGCCACCCCTCGAAGGCCCGATTCGATCTCGCCCACAGATTGGCATCAATCGTATAACCATTGCCACCCTCCGGCGCGCCAGGAAGGTACAAGCGGAGCGCCGCCTTGCGCGGTCCCAACTAGATGTCGCCGCCAGGGGTGGTGCAGCATAGTGCTCGCGACTTTCCTGTGCCCCTTGGGGGGTTTCAGCGGAGTGGCTCCCTCGCGGGCATCGGCACGAGACAGCGCCTCCGTGGGTGCTGCCACAAGTCTTGGCTGGGGTAGGCACGTGCTTCCCAGAGGTCCGACGCTCCCAAAAAAGTGGGGCGGGCGGTTTTGTACCGTTTTCGGCCCCTGGGGACCCTCCTCGCCGGGCCTCGGGAGCGTCATAAAACGACTCAGGACGAAACACCGGCCCTGGGGAAGTGGTCCGGACCTCCAGGGCCCACGCATCGACAGAATTAGAGCAGCCGGATGTCTGGGTTGGGCAACTTGGATCTCCCCTGGGACTAATATCCTCTCGTGAGCAGTTGCGCGGGCTTAGGCAGAGCCGCGTGCCTTCGGCTCTGAGAGACCCGGCTTGGCGGGCGGGCCCCGAAGGAGGGCCGGAAAGGCCAGCAGCGGGCGACCCTCAAGTGCGTGATCTACGAGGCGAAGGCCGGACGTCCCGCGAAACGCTTGTCGTCGTCGTCGTCTTCGTCGTCGTCGTCGTCGTCGTCGTCGTCGTCGTCGTCGTCGTCGTCGTGCTTCGCTCAGAGGCTCCACCGCGGCAGCGCGCACACCGCCATGCAAGGCCGGGCCCCTTGTGGAGTCTGGGGCCTTCCGGGGGCCCTCCCGGGGCACTCTTGGCCCTGCCGGGGCCTCCTTCTCCTTCTCCTCCTCCTCCTCCTGCTCCTCCTCCTCCTCCTCCTCCTCCTCCTCCTCCTCCCTCCTCCTGCTCCTCCTCCTCCTCCTCCTCCTCCTCCTCCTCCTCCTCCTCATCCTCCTCCTCCTCCTCCTCCTTTTGGGTGGCTCAAGTCCGAGGCCTCTGGGGGCCGAGGACGCGCAGCATTTCACTCCTGGTCAGGTCCAGGAGCTTGGGGCTCGAACTTTTCGGGCCGCTGTGTTGCCGCCTCCTTGCATGCGAAGCGATGGCGAGTCTGCAAGTGCGCGCCTCGAGCTCACCATACCCGTCGGTTGCGAGGTCGAGCTCAGGTGTGTGGTCAGGCCTTGCGGAGCCGCCGGCTATCCATCCTCCACCTGGCGATCTGCGTGCGCTGCGCCCACCCACGGCATGGCTGGGAGCACGGAGTTCGCTGACGGACGCTTCGCGCCAGAAGTTGACAGTTACGTCTCACTTGTACCAGTCCCTGCTGTGCCCGTCCTCCACCTACGCCACGGACCAGCTGCAGGACCCCAAGGCCATGAGCGTGGAGCCCAGCAAGGCCATGAGCGAGCAGCTGGACAGCAAGCTGGAGTTCGAGCGGAAGGGGAAGAGCGGGCACGTGAAGGACAAGGACGGGATGAAGACGATCAAGCATCTGGACAAGAGGAGCGGCAGCAGCAGCGAGAAGGGCATCTCGGTGGGCAAGTTCGAGCAAAAGACCTACACGGCGGAGGACCTGCCACTGCCTGCGACCAGGGTGCCCAGCTTTCGGCCCCTGTCGCCGAAAGTGATTTGCAAGGGGGAGTTCAAGGGCCGCGAGGAGGAGAAGGACTTGCTGGTCCGGCTGAAGCAGTTGCTGAAGTCCCCGGTTCCGTCTCTGACTTCGAGGTTTTCCGACGCCCCATGGGTGAAGAGGCGCGCTACGATGGGAAGCAAGAGTCAGCGTACGTAGAGGACGACGAGGACGACAACTTCGCCAAGAGCGTGCCTTCCTTTTTCAACATCGCCGAAGGGGATCCTGCTGCTTGTGACCTCCAGGGGCCAGCGCCTTCTTGTGAAGATGGAGGTGCTGAAGTTCTGCAGGTCGCTGGAGAGCAACAGGATCAAGTACGGGGCTTACAAAGTGAAGTTCTTAATTCATCTGACCAGGGTGATGGCCAGAGCGAGGCGAGCTTGGACGGGCACTTTTGTTACGACGATTCTTCGATTTTGGCTGGAGGAGTTCGTGCTAATAGTACGAATTCAGCTTCAGCGAGCGGAGGGTGCTTTCGGGCGTCGGCTGACGACGTTCGTGGTGTGCTGAGGGATGTCATTGCCTTCATGAAGAACAAGTCCAAGATGGTGCCAGTGCGTCAGTGGAAGAGGCTTGAGGCGAGGTTCCGTGCCGCTTGGTGGCGCGCTTCGCCCACTTTGCGGGAAGCTTATGTTGCTCTTGCGCGTGCTGGCGAAATGGACTTTCGCGATCTCGTCGCCTGCTTCGATTTCGGTGTAGAGCACGAGGAGTGTGCGGGTGCCTGTTCGGGCGGATGGTTTTCTTCTCTGGCTTCACCTTCGGCGGCGACTTCTGCTTCTTCTGGGGCGTCGCCGCTTTGCGTCGTAGTCGGTTTCATGCACTTCTTCATTTTCATGCCGCTCGTCGGGTCAAGAACTTCAAAGGTAAGTAGGGGCCCGTGCTCCCCGCCATTTTCAGCCGCCCAGTCTTAACCTGCCTGCAGAGTTTGGCTTGGCGTCGCACACAGCGAGTGAGTGTGAGTCCTCCTCCTTTTGGGCCCCCTCCTCCCCCCCTCCTCCTTCTGGGCCCTCTCCTCCAAGTTAGCCTTTGAGCCACTACGGCGTCTGAGCTCACGCGGCTGCCAGACGGCCCTGGACTCAAGCCCTCTCGGCTGCCGAACAGGCAGGCTGCTGCCGCCCTCTTGGGCGCTTCGGCGCGGCACCCTATCCACTTCTAGGTCCCTAGGTGCCTCCAGCCGAGCCTTTCGCGGCCTTCCGCCCCGCGAAGCGGAGCGACACGCTGTCCGCTCGCATGGCATAGCGCATCGCCGGGGCCGCCGGCCGCCGCGGCGACGCGCTGTGCAACCGTTCTCGACCGCGGGCTTCGGGAACCGTCTGGGGCTATGCTGCAGACCCCATGGGCACCTCTGCGGCCCGAGGTCTTTCGCTTTCCCGCACCCTCCTTGAGTGTGCTGTCCCGCCCACGGTCGGTGACTTTTGGGGAGCCTGCGGCTCCGCCGGTTCTGGCGCACCACGCTTCTGCGCGACGCGATGTCCACACATCGGTCTCCAGACCTCCACGTCCTGAGTTTCCCCGAGCCTCCCGCCCCGCAGAGCGGCATGACGCGCTATCTTCTCGCAGGGCATGGCGTGTCGCCGGGGCTGCCAGGACCGCCGGGGCGACACGCTAAGACGTCTAAGCATCTATGCATCCATGGTAGGGGTCTCTTAATTTTCTATGTTGCGTGTGCTGCAAGCGATGTTGCTGCCGCGTTGTTCCTGCCATTTCCTCTCTTCCCCAGTTCCTCCTCCTCCCCCGTCTCTCAGAGTTTCCTCCACAGGAGATGCCAACCTCCCTTCCCCCTTTTTTGCTTGCTCATGCGCAGGCCCTACCCGCAGGGGTGGGGTCGGCCTCGCGGACTCGGTCTCGTATCGCCGTTATGCCGCTTGCCCGCCGCGCGCACGGTCAGGGCGGCAAGCGGTCGTTCCAGGATATC